CAGGATGTTTTGTGTGACAGTTAACTAGAATTCCAGAAATATCCTTATCACAGCACCGCTGGAGCCAGGAGTCTCCCTTCCCTGGGTCTGGGGAGCAGCACAAAGCTGGTGGGTCTCAGCTCTTGGGTGAAAAGACCAGACATGAACCCAGCTTGGTGGGGAATCGTGCCCAGTCCCAGGTTTTCCCAGTTCATCAGGAAGAGGGAGATCCTCCAACAAATGCACAGCAGTGGTTACTCAGAGCTGCCACAGGCGTTTTTTCTCCCCCTGAAACTCCAAGACCATCAGCATTCCCAGGGATGGCTGGAAGGGTGATGGATGATATGGTGATGCAGCTGAGGCTGGTCCATGCAGGAGATACAGAGGGGAATCCTCCAGGCACAGCTGCTGCAATGCCCTGTCTGGAATTTTTCCCGGGATGGATCTTGGTTTGAGGGTGTGATTCCCTCGCTGGAAGGGAAGGATGAATTTGGCCACGGCAGGCGAGGCATGGATGGCCATCTCCCTGCCTTGCACCAGGAGAGGGGGCCCTTCAGCCGGCTGGAATCAGTAGGAAAAGGGGAAATAAAAGAAAGGGGGAAAAAATGCAACAGAGGAGGAGCCGACGGTGAAATCCCGACCGAGTGAAGGACGGGCAATTGCCTGCCCTGTCTCTGCCTCTTCTCTGCATCCCCCGGCTGGTGTAGTCCCTGCGGGGCAGTGGGTTTGGTGCCTTTGAGGGATTCTGGCAGCACAGGCAGGATGAGAAGTGGTGGGCAGGGAAAGGGAAGGGTTGCTGCCTTGGATGTACGAGACAGCAAAGAATCCTCAGGTGGTGGCTGGAAACATCAGAGTAAAGTCAGCATGAAAGCTCCCAGCTCATTCCACCCTGGAGAATCCATCTTCCAGCTGAAAAACCCCCGAAGTGAACCAGGTTTGGCTGGTTCTGCGGCTCCCAGAGCTCCCGGGGATGGTAAGGGATGCGGGATGCCCTGCAGGGTGGTCAGCCTTCTAGAGATCCCGCTCCCCAGATGTTCCTCCTCACAAAAAAAGTCCCATCAGGGGTAAAACCCGTTGCTCCTCTCTGCCCAGCAGCCACAGGCGCTGGCAGAGCTGGTGTGACAGGTGCCACGGGAGGGCGTTCATGTCCCAAATCCCAGCGGGAGGGGACAGTGAATTAGGATCCTTCTCCCTCCCTCCCAAGTCTGAGTTCCCGGTGGGCTTCTCCCCCCCATGCCAACCCCAAAACCCCCTTGGATGTGGAGAACAGCCTCATTTCAAGGGCTCATGCGAATGGGAAGCCTTTATTCCCGGGATGTTTTTAATCAAAGTCGAGCAGGTTGGGGATGCTGGCTCTCCCAGCACTGGGGATGTACAGGTGACTACCAGCCCTGAGTGCATCCCATCTCCCCTTCTCCTTTCCCTTTCCCCCATGGAAAATCATTCCAGAGTGGGTGTACAGCCAGGTTTGAGGAGATTCCTGGGAGCCTGGAGCTTTTCCTGAGCAGCACTTTGCATGCAAGGGAGCAGTTATCTCTACATCTCTGCTGTTCCCTTCTCAGCCTGGGAACAAACTCCATCCTTACCTGCCTTCATGTCCTCTGATTCACGGGTACCTTGTACCTCTAATGGCAAAGGGCAGTTGATCAGCCCCAAAGCTGCCTCCTTTCCACGGGGAACAGGGAGGGGAGGGATGAGAGGAGGAAGAAGGGTTCACACTGATTTGTGAGCCCCTGTAGCAGAGACATACAGCCCCTGAGCAGAGACATGTACCATGTTTAATGTGTCCAGCTCCACTGTCTTAAGCTCTGCTCCATCCACGGGTTCAACCTGGATGGAGCAGAGAACTAACATCTTCCCCAACACACCATGGAGGAAATTTCACCAGGGGAAGGCCCCACCAGCTCCAGCACCCTAGAAGCTTCTCATGAAGTCTGAGCAGAGATTTTTTTGCCCAAAAAGGGGTAATCAGAAACCAGTTCAAGGCATGGGAGATCCCAACTCTGTCCCAGTGGAGATGCAATGAGAAAGATGGTGTTGGGGGGGTTTCCTCTGTCACCAGTGTTGGAGACAAGCAGCAAAAGCGAGACACACAAGCATTAATCCCCATGGGGAGATGATTCCTGATAACAGATCTGAAACAGCCAAAGGAAAGAAATTAGAAATGCAGCATTCATTTTTAATCAGGAGGGTCATTAATGTTGGAGCAACTCCTCTCTTCCTTCCATCCACGAGGAAGAGTCACAAGTGGTATATCTGGCCCATTTTGGGGCTGGAGATAGGCTTTCCCAGGGAGGAGATGCCACCAGCCTGAATGCTGGTATCAGGCAGGTGTCTGAGCTTGAGGGAGAAGATGTGTGCCTGCCTGGACTTTTTCCTGTGGGAATAAGGGTGCTGGGAGCATTGCTCCCCTTTGAAAGAGGAGCTGGAGCCTGTTGCCATAACTGATCTCATGACTCATTTTAAAACCTACCATAAAAGTAATTGACCATGGAGTGATCAAAGCTCCCCTGGCTTATCACTGCCCCCAATTCCAGTAAAGGAATTGTGGCACTTGCAGGCTGCCCAGGGAGTAATTGGAGGGCTTAATTGAGGAAGGTTGTTAGGGGCAAGCAAAGATAGGGGAGATGGAGTCCCTTACTTACTATGAGCAACTGAGGCTTTCATGGCAGTGATGATGAATAGGGGAGGTTTAGGTTGGATGTTAGGAAAAGTTTCTTCCCCCAGAGGGTAGTCAGGCACTGGAACAGGCTCCCCAGGGCAGTGGTCATGGCCCCAAGCCTGCCAGAGCTCAAGGATCCTTTGGACAATGCTCTCAGGCATATGATGGGATTCTTGGGGTTGTCTTGTGCAGGGCCAGGAGTTGGACTCAATGATCCTTGTGGGTCCCTCCCAACTCAGGAGATTCTATTCTATTATATTATGAATGCCAGCAGGAAAACTGGGACACCACCTGGAGTCACTGGGCTGTTGGATGAGATGTCCAAGAGATATCAGACCATGGTCCCAGGGGTTCCTCCTGCCTGTGCAAGGTGCTTGGAGAGGTCTTCCACAGCAACATGGGATGTCTCCATTGACATAAAGAGAGGGAGAGGTGCTAAATGTAGATGGGGTGTTATAAAGTGGGTTCTTTCAGCTCCGACACCGTGAAGAGAAAGGGCTGTGTGGGGAAGGATAATTGCCTGCCCATTTCTCTCCCCTCGGGCCTCTTCCCTTCCCCTTCCCCCATCCTGATGCAGGAGTGACTTAATCAACCCTTGATAAATGTATCTTGGGGAGACCTTCTACCAGCAAGAGGCTGTTCCACCCCCCTAATGTTAATATTAAGCTGCTTATCTGCCCCAGGGCTATAAAACCCTCATCTCCAAAGGGGGAAAAAATTTCTCACTGTTATTTATATATGCTTTTGCTTATTGCAGCCTTATCAGCAAACCCAGCCAGCCTTCAGGGCAAGAGAGTCACGCAATGGCTCCAGCAAACGAGGCCTGTGGTCCCACACCAGGACCAGCATTGCATGTTCCCACTGCAGTGGAGTCACTGGGCCAAGTCCCTGAGAGCCTCTCCACCTCACAGGGATGGCATGGCACACTGCTGATGAGTCCCTGGCAGTCCTCCTGCTCTTCTGAGTCCCCAAATTAGGCACTGAGATTCACCTCCAGGATGGTCCCACCTTCTGCTGCAGTAGGTGAATGCTGGCTTTGGGATGTCCCTTGTGGAAAGTGGGTTTGTGACTCCATTGCCTGGACCTGCTGCCCTTGTCATAGGTAGTGGAGATGTCATTTGGCTGGTGGGCCTCCAGCATCCTTCTACTTTTCTTCTGAGGCCTCTGATAGCCTGCAGCACAAACTGTGCTTTGGACCTCCCTGTCCTCACCCTTGCTTCTCCTACAGTATTGGCATTATGACTTTAAGTGGTGAAGACAAAGCTGGTGTGACACAGAGTGAAGCTGCTTGTGCTGGTTCAATGAATTCACGGGGCTCTGTGGCTGCCTCACATCAGTGTTTCACCACAAACTGGTGACCAAGCAGGACCCAGACACGCAGAGTTACTCCTTTTCACTCAGGCTTGCTTAGCGGGTCTGAACAAGCTGAAGTCTTGGGCAACTGGCTTCTCTGTTTTCTTCCCCAACATGCTTTCATTTCTGCCTCTTCTTGGAAGTTTTTGTGCAATATGTGGTGAGTGATCAGTATTTGGACATCAAAGGAGCTCTCAGTGGTCAGGGTCTGGGGCTCTGAACGCAAATGCCTCCCACAGAAATGAGTTTAAGAGCAGAGTGTGTTGCACTGGATGGTTGTACTTGTTCCCATATTGTTGCTTGCCAGGTAGTGGGTTGGCTAAGATGGCTTTGCGTGCAAGTTGGAGAAATGGAGGCACCTGGCTCTGCTGGCATGGATTGACTCGCAGCCAATGTAAACTTTTGGGTTTGAGTTGGAGGAATTCCTGTTCTCATTCTCTTCCTGCTGTGAAAACACCCTTACTCCAGTCTAGAACACCAGCAGCTTCTTTTTTAGCAAGGGGTGAAGGTGTCCTTCCTTCAGGGCCAGCAGTGACCATGGCAAAGGAGGTGGCTAAAGCCTCAAGTTGCACCATGGGAGATTTGGACTGGATGTTGAAAAAAATTTCTTCATCAAAAAGGTGGTCAAACCCTGGCACAGACTGCCCAGGGCACTGGTGGAGTCACCATCCCTGGAGGGATTCCAAAGACATGTGGATGTGGTACTTGGGGACATGGGTTAGTGGTGGCCTTGGCAGTGCTGGGTTAATGGTTGGACTTGATGATATTAAAGTCTCTTCCAACCTAAACAATTCTATAATTCTATGCTTCTTAAACACTAAGAGGAGGCTGTGGAATTACGGCACGGGTTGGCCGTCCTTCAACTCTCAACAAGCAATTCTAAAAGGTTACAGTCCAAGATTAGATGTGATGGAATGAGCAACACTTAGTGGAATATGCAACACTAGAAACGCTGGAAAAAGAAAAAGGCGAGAAATGTTACAAAGTGAACCAGATAAAACAGGAGTTTCAATAGTTTCAGTTTATTACATCATCCTGTACAGCTGTACCAGACCCAGCTCTGCTGCAAGGACACTCATGTCTTTGCCCCCTGGTGATGTCTGGTCCCACTACTCAGTTTCTGCTCTTCATGGGGAAGCGCTGCTTGACCTGGAAGTGCTCACACCTTTTGTGCTTCAGGCTCAATCCAAAAATTGGAGTCATGTCCACCTTCTTGCCATCGCAGACACTGAACTCCAGCTGCTGGAGCAAGGTGGACAGGAACAGGAAGACCTCCCACCTGGCAATGGTTTCCCCAGGGCACTTCCTTTTCCCCAGGCCAAAAACCAGCACCTTCTCCCCCTCTTCTTTGTTCACTTTGGTTCCATCAGCACTGAGAAAACGCTCTGGGTTGAAGGTTTCTGGATCCTTCCAAAGTTTCCTGGAAGGGAAAACATCAGATGTTGAGATGGTTTCTCCTGGTCACAGGTGTAGGTGGGACACTGGAAGGTGGGAACTGCCAAGAAGAACATCCCTGAATTAAGTAGGTCCCTCACCTGCTCCCTTTTCTCTTTGAGAAGGTTGACCCCACTCCTGCCCAGGAAGAAAACTGTGCAGGAAGGGTCCTGTTTGTAAACTGAGGGGGATTTCTGCCTCACAGGGTACTTACTCGTCATGATTCACTTGCCACTGGTTGATAAACACGCAGCGGTCCTTTGGGATGTAGTAGCCATTCAACACCGTGTCCTTAGTCGTGCTGGGGAGAGAAAAGATGGAGAGTTTGGGAAGCCAAAAGATCCTTCTGCATCCTCAGGGGACTGTTAGTTTGCTCCTGATGGTGCTGAAGGAAGGATGTGTCCCAGAGGGATGGTTTTGTGAGGTGCAGTTGTGCTCCCATGAGGCATAACAAAATGCCTCAAGACCACCTCATCCCTAGGCCTCCTCTGCAAGCTCAGCCCCTACCTGTGTGGGATGGTGAAGGGCAGGAAGGAGGAGTGCCTGAACATCTCCAGGATAAAGGCTTCAGTGTAGGGCAGCGTGCCCCGGTCCGACAGCCGCGGTCTCCTCTCCCGGCCGATGGTCTGGTCTGCAGGAGACAGAGCAGAGGGAGTGGGTTGGGGTCAGCCCAGTCCAGACAGGTTTTAGCCTTGGAGGACGAGCATTCATGGATTTACCCAGTTCTTTCTGGATCCTCTTCTGGATGTCAGGGTACGTCACAAGATACAAGAGGCTCCAGGATAAGGCAGTTGTCACGGTGTCGAAGCCTGGGCAAAGAGGAAAGCATGAGGGTGAGGTCTGCACAATACCTATCTCCACTTGCAGGCTAACCATCACACGGGGCAGTCTGGGATGGCTAAGAAGGCAGAGGATGTCCTGGACACACAGCAAGACTTGGGGTTTTATTCTATCACAGAAAACCTTGCTAAAATATCCTGCTCTCTCATCCTGTTTCGCTCCTGGGTTGTGTCAGGTTCGTACAACTTCTCTGGCATGAGGGGAGTTTCCAGAGTAACTCAAAGGTGAATCAGTCCAGAGACATTTCTCTCAACCAGAAGAAGTCACCCTGGCTTGTGAACCTCAACTGAGCTATAAGCCATACCCTTTGCTTGTCCCTGAAGCCTTTTTCCAGGGCTAATTTCTCAAACTGGTCTCTAGAGGTATCCCTAGAAGGTCCAGGAAGACCAATGAGCAGGAGAGTAAGTGCTTAGACACAAACTGGGTGCCTGGTGCTGGACAAAGATAGATCAGACAGAGATAAAACAGGAAGGGTCTGAGGAGCTGAGGGGCTGGTGGGAGGAGGCACCTGCTCCAAAGATGTCATTCACAAGGTTGACGATCTTCTCCTTAGGGATCTGTGTGGCAGTGTTTGTTTCCACTTTTTTCTCCAGGCACTGCTCAATGAGGGAGTCGGTGATGTCTCGGATGTTGTTCTGTGAGGAAGAGGAGACAACCTCAATGCAGCAGAATTGGCAGAGGAATGGGTGTTCCTGAGCAACCCCACCTGATGCTGGGGAAGCCCAGGGTAATATGAGTGTGCTCCATTTCCCATGGCACCTATGAAAACAAAGAGATGGCTCTCCAGGGAACCTGAGGCACAGATCAAATGTTCAACCGACAGACTGGCCCTATCACACAGGGAATGGAGGAGAAGCTGGGAAGCTCATGAAGCTATGTCAAGGAAGGTTTAGATTGGATGTTAGGATAAGGTTCTTCGTCCAGAGGGTGGTCGGGCACCAGAACCGGCTCCCCAGGACAGTGGTCACTGCCCTAAGCCTGCCAGAGCTCAAGGAGCATTTGGACAATGCTCTCTGGCACATGGTGGGATTTCTGGGGGGTGTCCTGTCTCCACCTAAGAACTGGACTTGATGATCTTTGTGGGTCCCTTCCAACTTCAGGAGATTCCATGATTCTATGATATTCTATGATTCTATGAGAAGGAGGACTGGAGAGAGAGACAATACCCATTGCTTCTTGGCTGCAAGAAGAAAAGCTACTTGCTAGAGAGAGGAGGAGAGCAGGGACACACTGCTGGTGCAGAAAGTTCTGCGGGCTCTTACCTCGTCATAGGTCTCGTAATGTTCTTTGATTATCTTCTGGAGGAAGCTGAGGAAGGACTTGTTGAAATCTATAAATGCTTTCATGCTGCGGCTGGGAAGGTACTGGAGCAGGGGGATGAAGTCAGCAGGGTAGCCAGCACCAGCCACGTTATTAAACTGCTCAACTGAATTCACCAAGCTGAGCAGCTCCTGGTCACTGTGATCGTAGCGCTTGCCAAAGCACATGGCACAGATGACATTGGCCACCGAGACCACCAGGTACTGGTTAAGGTCAAAGCTCTTCTCCTCCTTCATCAGCTGCAGGAACTTGGTGACCAGGTACTCAGCCTCCTTGGAGACGTGCTCCTCC